GAATGCCACTGATCAACACTCAGTCTCTGATGAATAAATAAATACATACAGAGGACTTGTCACTCTTCACTCAGCAAGTCCACATTTACCTCCAGTCACCCAGAAGCCTGACACTAGGCTTAGGCTGAAGTGCTGAGAAAGAGCTGGAACTAGATCTTGGCCCTGTGGAAACTCACAAGTGGAACTGTGTGACAAGGGAAATCAGAGCTGTGACTCAAGAGTGCCAATGCTGAGAAACACCAAGGTCAGGGACAGAGATCCGGGCAAGAGGACTGAGAAGGCTCCATGGAGCGAGAGCGTGAAGAATGACTTGGTGGATGGAGATGGGGAAGGGGCAGAATAGAAGGAAATGAAGTATGGCAGACAGTCTAGGGGCCAGCAGGAGTCCTGCATGGCAGGACTGCAGAGAGGAAGAGGCCAGGGAGACTGTCATGGTAATTCATGAAGGCTTTGACGGCCAGGATGAGGAGCAGGATCTACTTTCACAAGCACCAGGGAACCATGCAATGCTTTTGAGAAAGAAAGTCTACAGTGTCAGAAAGTTCCCTCTGGGGCTGGGAATGTGGCTTAGTGGTAGAGTTCTTGCCTAGCATGCATGAAGCCCTGGGTTTGATTCTTCAGCACCACATAAACAGAAAAGGCTGGAAGTGGTGCTGTGGCTCAAGTAGTAGAGTGCAAAAGAAGTTCCGAGACAATGCAGGCCCTAAGTTCAAGCCCCAGGACTGGCACAAGAAAAGAAAAGAAAACTTCCTCTAGTTCTGTGGACGGGTAGATTATAGCAGTGTACGATGGGGAACACAAGAGGGCAGCTTCCAGATTGCCCTGGAGAAAGCAGACAAGGTATGAGCCAGCAGGACAGAGGAGCAGGCAGGCAGTAGAGGCAGAGCTGGGAAAGGGTAAGGGGTTTATGAATGACACCTGCTGAGGAGGAGCCTCAGCCCCCAACCCACATAAGGCAGAGGCATGGACACAGCCCAGCCATGGTGGGGAGTGCTGGAATTCAGGCCAGCAGGACTCAGCCCCAATGATGTCCTGCGAGCCATACAGCTTCTAGTGCTAGAGAATGACTGTCTCCTGGCCCTGCTCACCTTCCTGCCCCTCACCCTCTCCCCTTCCCTCAGACAGGCTGGGAGAAGCTTCTCCAGCTGGCTTTGTTGGCCAAGACACAATGTCATCTCTAGATGAGACATCCAGTTCTGGAGATGTGCCAGGTGACAGGGTGGGAGACAGCTGTGTCCCCAAAACACAGCCAAAAAGCAGCCAACCAAGACAGCAGCAGCAGCAGAGCTGGCAGAGAGGCTGCTGCCCCCACTGGTGATGCAGGGGCCAGCCTTGACAGCTCCCACCTGCCTGAGCCTCGAGCTCCCTGCAGTCAGGCCCCATGGGTGCCACCAGCTCCTACCAGCTCCCACCGCATCAATCAGCATGAGACACTTGTTAGTGCCCAATGGACCCAGGCTCTGCTTCTCCGCCATGGGGTGACAAGAACATAGACTGAGCATCTTTGGAGCTAAGTTGGAGTTTTGCCTGACCAGTTATTTGTCTGTGGCTTTCTCTAGACCTCAGTTTTCCAATCTGTGAAGTGGAATAAGAGAACATTTTTTTATAACAGAGTCAGCAGCCTAAATAGTAATACCCTTAGAAGGAACTGATGGCCTCTTCCAGTCTCTAGAGAAGTCAGCTAAAGCCCCAGGCTGGACAATGAGTGACCAGAACCCATTTAAGAAAGGTTCCAGGAGCTGGGAAGGTGGCTCAGTGGTAGAGCGCTTGCCTTGCATGCCTGAGGCCCTGGGTTCGATTCCTCAGCACCACATAAGCAAAAAGAAAAAAACCACAAGTGGCACTGTGGCTCAAGTGGTAGAGCGTTAGCCTTGAGCTGAAGAGCTGAGGGACAGCACCCAGGCCCAGAGTTCAGGCCCCACAACTGGACCCAAAAAAAAGAAAGGTTCCATTCCAAAAATTGTGGTACCTATATACAATGGAATATTATGCAGCCATTAGAAAGAACAAAATAATGGCATTCACAGGGAAATTGAACTAGAAAAAATCATTTTGAGTGAGTTAAGCCAAGAGCAAAGAACAAATGGCACATGGTATCCCTGATATGTGGATGTTAAATCCAAAACGTAAGGAGATACAACAAAGTAAGACTCGAGAAATAAAGGACCTCCACTCATCTTGTCATATCATTACTAAGTGACCCTATACTGTTGACCACATATATGGTATACACACACACACACATATGTGCACATGTACACATGAGGGAAACTAAGAAGACACAGAGTCAGAGGGAAACGGGAAAATATACAACAGAGGGGCCCATCAGCTGCACTGGACATCGATGAAAATGAACTAAGCAATTCAAGGGCAGTGATGGAGGGGGAGGAATGAGAGGGATAGAGGCAACAGCTAACATTGAGCAAAAGGAAAGAAATGTACATACCACCCAATGTGGAAGAAACAGCTATATTGTCAAAGCTCATAGAATTCACAAACTTTATAAACCACACTAATGACAATTTGCCTCATGAAGGTTAGAAAGTGTTTGTGACTTTAACTAAGTATCATTATCTCACAATACTGTGAAATTTGTAAAATTTATGTAATCACTTAATCACAAT